GGGGTGGGGCGCAAGGTGGAAGTTTCGCCTAGGGCGCGAAACATCCTTCCACCGGCCCTGCCTCCTCAGTTTTCTTTTTCTCAAGACTAAACATGCCCAGTGTTTTTAACCTCTCCTCAGAGGTCAGGTTTTCTAAAACTTTTATAATTTTCATTGCTTTCCTCTGGACTCTGTCCAATTTGGCCACATCTTTAATAAAACATGGTGCCCATAACTGGACACAGTACTGCTGCTGAGGCCTTGCCAGAACCGAATAGAGCAAGACAGTTGCCTGCCATGCCATACATACAACACTCCTGTTAATACATCCCACAATGATATTAGCCTTTTTTGCAACTACATCATATTGTTGATTCATATTCAATTTGTGATCCATTATAACCCCCAAATCCTTTCAGCAGTACTATTGTCTAACCAGTTATTCTCCATTTTGTGATTGTGAATTTGATTTTTAATTCTTAAATGTAGTTAGAATCATAGAAGATTAGGGTTGGAAGAGACCTCAGGAGGTCATCCAGTCCAACCCCCTACTCAAAGTAGGTCCAACACCAACTAAATCATCCCAGCCAGGGCTTTGTCAAGCCGAGCCTTAAAAACCTCTAAGGATGGAGATTCCACCACCTCCCTAGGTAACGCATTCCAGTGCTTCACCACCCTCCTAGTGAAATAGTGTTTCCTAATACCCAACCTAGACCTCCCCCACTGCAACTTGAGACTATTGCTCCTTTTCACTTGTCTATATTGAATTTCATCTAGTTGATTTCAGACCAATTCTCCTATTTGTTAAGGTTGTTTTGAATTCTAATCCTGTCCACCAAAGTGCTTGCAACCCCTCCCGGCTTGGTGTCATCCACAAATTGTATAAGCATACTCTCCACGCCATTATCCAAGTCATTCATGAAAATATTGAACAGTACCAGATGCAGGACTGAGCCCTGCAGGACCCAATTAAATACCTTTCCCCAGTTTGACAATGAACCATTCATAACTACTTTTTTAGTATGATCTTTCAACCAGTTTTGCACCCACATTATAGTAATTTTATCCAGACCACATTTCCCTAGTTTGCTTATAAGAATGTCATGTGGGACTGCGTCAAAAGCCTTACTAAAAATCAAAATATATCACGTTCACTGCTTGCCCCCCATCCACTATGCCAATAACACTGTCAAAGAAGGCAATTAGGTTGGTTTGGCATGATTTGTTCTTCACAAATCCATCGCTCGCTATTCCTGATCACCCTTTTATCCTATAGGTGGTTACAAATTGATTGTTTAATCATTTGTTCCAATATCTTTCCAGGTATCGAAGTTAAGCTGACTGGTCTATAATCTTTGGGTCCTCTTTTTTCCCTTTTCGAAAGATAGTAGTATGTTTGCCATTCTCCAGTCCTGGTCCTGGTTGCAGAGGGAAAGAAAGAGGAATTTGCTCACTATTCATCAAGTTCTGATGAAATACTTTAACAGGCAAAATTTACCAGTGGCAGATCCATGATAAAGTTGTAGGCGTTGGCTTCCTTGGCTGCTTTGATGATGTCTTCCATACTAGCATCATCACGGCCATAGCGAATGTTCTCTGCAATTGTGGTAGCAAACAGGACTGGTTCTTGCTCAACAATACCAATCAGTGAGCGCAACCACTGAATGTTAAGGGAGCGAATGTCATGGCCATCAAGGGTAACCTACAGAAGAACACCAGTTAAAAGTAAAAGAGCAGCTGATCTCACAGTGCTGTGACTCTACAGCCTCAAATGGAGTTACTCCAGAGTCATTCTGGTACAAGAGAGCTCAAAACCAGCCTTATTTGGACTACAGACTATAGATTCAAAAATAAAACTATAAAAAGAAATAATGAGAAGACTGGGCTCAACCCGGCAAGAAGATGACTACTTCCCACCCCCCAGTGAAGTAAATAATGATGTTTGCTATTCTGTATCATATAAATCTTTAATCAAGATTGGATGTTTTTCCAAAAATATGCTCAAATAGGAATTAATGCAGGGAAATCCTATGACCAGACTTTCTGATCACAGTGGTCCCCTCTGGCTTTATAATCCATGAATCTACGAAAATCTAAAGATAAATCGCTTCCCATTAAAAGTTTCACATTTGACTTTTCATGCTAATTCAGAATGAATTTTTTTCCAAAACTGACATTTTAGTTCATTTGCCTCAGTTTCTTATACCTACATCTCAGGGGTTGGTTATGAGAACTAATCCGTGTTTATAATAGAGCTGGTGGAAAGATTTCAACTGATTTGGTTTTGGGATGAGAAATGGACTTTAGAAAATAGAAATTTTTCCAAAAAGAAAATAAAGGATTTTTAAAAAATGTTCAGGTTGTTGTTTTTTTACAAAACTGGAAAATGAAAATTTAGGGTTTTTTTGTTTGTTTTTCAGTTCTATATCCCCCCTCCTCATTTTCCTTCTCCCCCTCCTTTCTTCACTGGCAAAACAGAAGAAGGGGAAAAAAGGGGGAAAGGGAAATAAAGGGAGGGGAAAAGGAACAATGAAAACTAAAAAAATGTGAAAAAGAAAATGTTCAAAACCAGACATTTTTGATAAAAATGTTCACAAAAATAACTGAACAAACATAAATTCATTCTCTATTAGCATAACTAGGACATGAGGAAATTACGGAAAGATCACCATAATATGATTTAGTGAGAATTTGTTTATACTTCACTCATCCTTTGACTCTTTTACGTTCAGTTACAGAGCACCATTTATGTGATTTATACCATTAAGCCAAATGTTAATGAAATAAGAATGTTTATATATTAAACATATCTGCTGTTGGTAATAAGACATAGCCAATCCATTCAGCATATACTGTAGCAGTATTATAGGTAAAGCTACGTTTTTTTTTCATAGAGGTCATGGAAGTCACGGAATCCGTGACTTCCAGTGACCTCCGTGACTTCAGCCCGCAGTGGCTGGGAGCTGCAGGGCGTCGGGGGGACTCTGGAGCTCCTGGCCGCCATGGGCATGGGGGAACGTCAGAGCACCGAGCCCCCACAGGCGGTGGGGGTCTCCAGAGCTCCCAGTGGCCCCCCGCAGCTGCCCAGCCACTAAGGGCAGTGTGGGGACCCCGCAGCTGAGCTCCCCATTTTATCATGGGTATTTTTAGTAAAAGTCACGGACAGATAATCGGCTTCCATGAATTTTTCTTGAGACCTGTCCGTGACTTTTACTAAAAATATCCGTGACTAAATCTTAGCCTTAATTATAGGATAATGATTAAGTGCTCAAGACTACATTTCTCAGGATTTAAAACTGTTTGTCACTTCTGGATTCCCTACCCTAAAAACGACCTTTATATACATAAGTGCAGTTCTCATTGAAGCTTAGCATTTAATTCTTATTTTGTAGGGAAACCACTTTTGTCCTCACTAAAAACTTCTTTTCTTTCCCATAAATATTGCTGATTGTATCATTCAGGAGACTCCAGAACAGAACTAAACAAAGCATTCTGCTCATTTCCTCAGTCACTGTTTCTTGGAATGGATTTTTTAAAAAATCCAGAATCCTGCTTCCCAACTTTGAGTAAAAACGATGATACCCTTTAAAGTGAATAAGGTTAGAGAAACCTTGCTGGAGTGAGACACTCACCATGCCTTCAGTAGGGTCATAGAACCGCTGGATGAGCTGCACTGTGGTGCTTTTTCCAGCTCCACTGGGTCCAACAAAAGCAGTTGTCTCCCCTGATTTAATAACCATGCTAAGATTATCCAAAATCTGAAAGCACAAGAGAGACCATCCATTGTAACTACAAAATTCCTGAAGCCAAGCAGATGGACTGGAAATCATCATGTATTGCTTTCATCTTAAATGAAGAGGGGAAAAGAGAACCAAAGGATTTTTAAATAAACTGAAAAGCTTGATATTAGAGTTCGTTAAGAGCATTATTTTCCATGAAGGCTATACAGGCAAATTCTGATTTTTGTTGGTTATGTCTGATTCCCACTGAAATAAAGACGAGTTGGATACATCCTAGAGGATAATTTAGCTCTAATACCTTTTGACAAATGCTGCATATGTGTTATGAGTACTTGCTAAAATCTACATGTTATGTTTGCACCAAAGACATTGTATAGAATAATATGATACTTAATATGCTGCTGTGTCTAGAAGTGGCTGCATTTATTTGTTTGCCCAATAATACTCTTTTCAAGCAGATCTTGTCACAGCAGCAGTGAAGCAAGAGGACATACAGCCAGTGTTTGTTTCCCTCTTCCTAGCACTTTACAGTATAATGCACTGCACTTCCCCAGGACAATGGGAGAATTAAATTATAAAATCTCTTCGCTCATTTTGTTTTACTACCTTCTATCCTATTTTTGCATAAATTTATAGAACTGTATAATTGATTATGGAGCTCTGAAAAATAAAAGGAATCCAATAAAAAGTGGAAACATGGACAAATTGCTAAGGAGAAGTACAAAAGAACAGCACAAGCCTCTAGGGACAAAATCAGAAAGGCTAAGGCACAAAGTGAGTTACACGTAGCAGGGGACATACAAAGTAATAAGAAGAGATTCTTTAAGTACATTAGGAGCAAGACAGCAGGAAGAAGGAAAGTGTAGGTCCTCTACTTAGCAAGGAAGGAGATCTAATAACTGATGGTGTCAAGAAGGCTGGAGTGTTTAATGCCTATTTTGCTTCAGTTTTCACTAAAAAGCTTAATGATGGACAGATAATAGTTAATATTAATTGCGCTGAGTAATTAATATTAACAACAAGGGGGAAGGATGCAAGACAGAATAGGGAAAGAACAGGTTAAAGACTATTTAGATAAATTAGATATAATCCAATCAGCAGGGCATGATGAAATTCAACTTCCGTACTTAAAGAACTAACTGAAGTAATCCCGGAACAATTAGCAATTATCTTTGAGCACTCATGGACAATGGGTGAGTTCTGGAGAAAGGCACACATAGAGCAACCTTTCAAAAGGGGATAAAGAGGACCTGTGGAATTATTGACCAGCCAGTCTAACTTCAATATTTGGAAAGATAGTGGAACAAATGATTAAACAATCCATTTGTAAGCACCTTGAGGATAATAGGGTTATAAGGAATAGCCAGCATGTATTTGTCAAGAACAAATCATGCCAAACCTACCTAATTTCCTTCATTGACAGGGTTAATGGCCTAGTGAATGGGAGGAAGTGGTGGACATGATATATCTTGACTTTTAGTAAAGCTTTTGACACACATGACATTCTCATAAGTAAACTACGGAAATGTGGTTTAGATTTCCATACCATAAGATGGGTGCAAAACTGGTTGAAAGACCATACTTGAAGAGTAGTTATCAATTGTTGACTGTCAATGTGGGGGAGGTATCTAGCAGGGTCCCGGAGGGGTCAGTCCTGGGTCCAGTACTATTCAATATTTTCATGAGTGACTTGGATAATGGAGTGGAGACTATGCTTATAAAATTTACGGATGACACCAAGCTGGGAGGAGTTTCAAGCACTTTGAATGACAAGATAGAATTCAAAACAACCTTGACAAATAGGAGAATTGGTCTAAAATCAGCAAGATGAAATTCATTATAGACAAGTACAAAGTCTACATTTAGGAAACAAAAATTAAATGCACAACCACAAGATGGAGAATAACTGTCTTAACAATGGTACTGCAGAAAGGCTCTGGGGGTTATATTTGTAAATCACAAATTGAATGCAAATCAGCAATGTGATGCAGTTGCAAAAAGGGCTAATATCATTGTGGGGTGTATTAACAGGAGTGTTGTATGTATGACACGGGAGGCAACCGTCTCGCTCTATTCAGTTCTGGTGATGCCTCACCAGATGTGGCCAAATTGGACAGAGTCCAGAGGAAAGCAATGAAAATTATAAAAGTTTTAGAAAACCTGACCTCTGAGGAAAGGTTAAAAACACTGGGCATGTTTAGTGTTGAGAAAAGAAGACTGAGGGGGGACCTGATAGCAAGCCTTTGCCAGAGGATGTTGTGAAGGCCAAGACTATAACAGGGTTCAAAAAAAGAACTAGATAAATTCATGGACGATAGGTCCATCAATGGCTATTAGCCAGGATGGGCAGGGATGGTGTCCCCAGCCTCTGTTTGCCTGAAGCTGGGAATGGGCGACAGAGGCTGGATCACTTGATGATTACCTGTTCTGTTTATTCCCTTGGGGACACTTGGCAATTGTCCACTGTTGGAAGACAGGACACTGCGCTAGATGGACCTTTGGTCTGACCCAGTATGGTCATTCTTATGTTCTTATGTCTGCACACATATGTTAAGGGCTGTTATGAAGAGGACACTGATCAATTGTTCTCAATGTCCACTGATGGTAGGACAAGAAGTAATGGGCTTAATCTGCAGCAAGGGAGATTTAGGATAGCTGTAAGGAAAAACTTTCTAACTATAAGGATAGTTTAGCTCTGGAATAAGCATCCAAGGGAGGTTGTGGAATCCCCATCATTGGCAGTTTTTAAGAACAGGATGAACAAACACCTGTCAGTGATGGTCTAAGGGAGGGAAGCAGTATGCAGATGAACCCAACTGAATTTTTGTGAGCTTATAGTCTACAGAAAAGAATTCTCATAGATGTGCTGGAAATGAAAACTACACAACTTCTAACACTGTTGACACCAAAATAATTAATTGCCTACTTTTAAACAAAGGGCTTGTGCTTTTGGAAAGTAAGCTCTAACATAGGAGTTTACAGATTACTGGCATAACAGCATATTCTATTTAGTTACAGTAAATTATTCAAAAGAGGAATGATGAATAATCACCTTTACTTCTGGCCTGGATGGGTAATGAAATGTTACATTATGGAATTCAATTTCACCTCTTATTTTATCCAGCTTGTAGCCCTCTTCTGACATGCAGTCAATGGTAGGTTTCTAGAGTAGAATTTGTCATGTTATTTATTTGGTGTTAAACAACCGAGACTTTGCTGCAGTAGATACAGTATTCCTTCCAACATACAAAACAATGACATTTCAGTTTGTACAGCTCTGGGCTGTACTCCAAAGCAATACAGACTCTGCTACAGGAGCATAAGACTCTAAGCTAAAGTGACAATGTGGTTGTCACCGGTGAGGAAAGTTGGGAAGAGAAATGACTTCTGCATGGGGCACACAGCCATCTCTCTCAGTCTGTTACGTTACGTCACTGGGGATAATCCATTAGAAAGGCTGGGTGTGTGTCATGGCAAAGCATAAGAAATATTGTGGCTTTGTCATGGTAAAAAAATTCAAGAAAAAGTCACAGCACACAATGGTATAATTATGAGTAAGTTCACTTTCTATTAGAATCATGTTAAATAACATATGAAGATAGCATAACAACAATTAAAAACACAAACTTCTGTTCTCATCTAAACACACAGACAGGCTTTGGGAGACAGAGCCTCAGCTGGTGCAAGGCAGCATAGTCCATTGACATCAATGGTGCTATATCCATTTACATCAGCTGGAGATTTGGTGTTTCCTGGAGCTTGGCTACAGTATGAATATTAAGACCTTCTTCTGAGCCTTTAGCCTTAATTCATAGCTGATCATTAGCTGCACTTATGAGACCTGAGCATGAAATATCAGTGTTTGGTAAAAACTTGAATATTCATAAACAAAACATTTAAAGATGTCAATTTGATGCCCTCTTTATAAATTGCAGCTAGGTCTTTTTCTTGTGCAGTCAGCTGTTTCTTAATTACCCTCATTTTTCTCATTTACACTGCCAATAAAAGCCTACCCTGCGTGGGGCTTATTTAACTATTTTTCACAGCAGACTGACAGAGCTTAGGAATTCCATACTTACTTTATCTATCGTCTCAAAGATGTTTGTTGCAGCCCCGCGGCCAGTGGCGAAAGCCTCCAAACAAGGAGAAGCCTGACCAAGACTTAAAGCACCTATTAAGACTCCAAAGAAAACCTGAAAAAACATGGGAAGACATTAACTGCTTTACATTAATTTTTTTCTTAGAGCTTAGAAAACAACCTGGTACCACCCAGGTGGTAACTAGATAAGGACTGAGCCTTCTGGACATGTTTGGGGCCAGCAAGCAGGATTGATGCTCCAATGCTTGAAAACATATAGGACAGCATGGTGATGTGCCCTCTGTATTTGGAGTTTTAAATGCATTGCGTTACTTGGTATTATGCTCGATCAGCAGCTTTAAAATACTCTTTGGTTGAAGTACTGTTGCTGTTAATGTGGGACCGATGGCTGTATATCTATCACACCTGCAAACCTTGCTACAAAGGCAGGTTCCTGCCTCTGAGAGGATTCCCCCCCTCCCTACATAAAAGTGCCCACAGCAGTAGTGCCTATGCCATCAGAACCCATACTCCACCTGCCAGTGCTTGAACTGAGCAAGTGTGGGATGGGACAGCGTGCAGACCCGTTGGGTAGAATGCTGTATCACTTCATAGCTGCTGTATTTGTGGAAGCCGCAACTCCACTCCTACAGCATACCCACATTTCTCCTCTGGTTTTGCAAAGGAATGCTGTTGCAGCAGCTCACCCCAGCCCTACCCAATGAGAGTGTTCTTCCCCAACCCTAGCCAAGAACCTAAGGAAGGAATCACTTGCTGATCACCCCTTTCTGAAAATCCAAGGATCGTGTCCTTTTGCGCTAAGTCACGGTAGCATGAGAGGAGATCTGACATGGGATCTGAAGAAAGGCCGTGTTTCTTGTGCAGCATCACTAGAGAGCTCAGCCAGCAGGGGCGAACACCAGTGGGCTGAAGACACTGCACTCCACGAGCCCAACAGGACCTGGCAGGGAAGCTGGGGAGGATGCCAGAATGCTGAAAGCATTTGCCAGAACTTGTCTTCACTGGGAGCTGTGAGTGCTCAGTCCCTCTGAAAATCAAACCACTTTTATTAAGGTGCATAAATCTACATTTATGTGCCTAACTGTAGGCACCCAAGTCTGAAAGTGCTGGTCATTGTAATCAGGGGCGGGGAACTCAAAGAATAGGACACTGGAGGACAGAGATCATAAGATCATAAGAACAGCCATAATGGGTCAGACCAGAGGCCCATCTAGCCCAGTATTCTGTCTTCTGACAGTGGCCAATGCCAGGTGCCCCAGAGGGAATGAACAGAACAGGTAATCATCAAGTGATCCATCCCCTGTCGCCCATTCCCAGCTTCTGGCAAACAGAAGCTAGGGACACCATCCCTGAACATCCTGGCTAATAGCCATTGATGGACCTATCTGCCATGAATCTATCTAGTTCTTTTTTGAACCCTGTTATAATCTTGGCCTTCACAACATCCTCTGGCAAAGAGTTCCACAGGTTGACTGTGCGTTGTGTGAAGCAATACTTTTTTGTTTGTTTTAAACCTGCTGCCTATTAATTTCATTTGGTGACCCCTAGTTCTTGTATTATGAGAAGGAGTAAATAACACTTCCTTATTTACTTTCTCCACACCAGTCATGATTTTATAGACCTCTATCATATTCCCCCTTAGTCGTCTCTTTTCCAGGATGAAAAGGCCCACTCTCATTAATCTCTCCTCATACTGAAGCTGTTCCATACCCGTAATAATTTTTGTTGCCCTTTTCTGAACCTTTTCAAATTCCAATATATCTTTTTTGAGATGGGGTGATCACATCTGCATGCAGTATTCAAGATGTGGGTGTACCATGGATTTATATAAAGGCAATATGATATTTTCGGTCATATTATCTATCCCTTTCTTAATGATCAAGGAAGGGGGAAGGCTTCTTCATTACTTTGCTGCTTTTATTTCAAGGAACTGGGCAGTAATATATTCTATGTAATATTAACCTAGTACGTGTTCTTCCTATTGCTACAGTACAAATTGTCCTCATTAGAATTAAACGTTTGTTTAGAACTTATTTTGATTTATGCTGTCCCTTCTTGGCTATGTGGTAGCTTGATGTAGCAGATAATGAATATGCCCTTTGATTCTGGCCCACCTTTTTGCTCTGTTATGACTGATCAGCTTGGAAACAATTAAAAAATGTGAAAAGGATTATGTGTAACCATTTACATTAGTTTGGTGATGTCTGTGGAATTCTGCAAGAAGCAGTCAAGGACTCCGCTAGCCTTCTGAGAACAGCAGACAGGCATGTGTAAAGGAGAGGCTCGCAGGGTGTGGCAGGTAAACTCGATTACCAGGGGAGAATGAAAAATACACAGGGGCAGATTCTCCTCTCATTCACACTATTATAAATCAAGACTGAACTCATCCAAGCTACACTGCTGTAAAATCAGAGTAAGCAAGAGGGAACCAGGCCCAATGGTTTTGATTATAACAAGGGAAAGCATTGCTTGGTTAACCCTTGCTGAATTAATTGGATGGATGTTCAGCACAACCTCTCAGTGACCCGGAAAGGAATATTTGGAGACTGGGTGTATATGTTCAGAGTGCTAAGTGAGAAATTTGAAGCAAAAGAAAGATGATTGACAACTCGGAAAGCAGAGAAAAGAAGGCGGCACTGGAGATATTCCCTTCCAATGTTGGCTGCAGTTTGTCAGTTCCCTGCTGGCTGCCATTTACCAGTTGGGAATGCGGAACTACAGTTATTGGGTGCAAGTCAAGGAAATCTCTGGCGGGCTTTATCACTGCACTGACCTGTTAGTGCCAAGTGCAATTTCAGGTTATTCCATCTGAGGGCCATCTGCCAGCAGTAGAGAATAATTAAAATATCTAAGGATTCAGGTTCCATAACATTTAAACTACTGGTATCTAGAACAGCCATTCTACTTCACCTAACAGCTTCCAGAGCTGCATAAAAGTTGGCACAGTGTGCTTCCAGCACACCACTGCAAGAACCAGAGTTTGAACTTTACAGACAGAAATAGCAGCTGAATCCTGGAGTAGTGGAGAAGAAGGTTCAGGGAAAAAATAGGGTGATTTGCCATTTTATATTTGGCAACTAAATAGGAGAGCAAAGAGCAGAAAAGAAAAGCATGGTCAGACAGCAGTCACCACTCTGAAAGCTAGGTGATAACTAACGTACGTGTTCAGGGACAGTTCTGAAAAACGATCAGATATGAAAGGAGCAAGTATTATAACCAGTACCTGTAAGAGAGTCCCAGGTGAATACTCATCTTCTTCAAGGACAAGTTTTGAGCCATACCAAAAGGCTAATGCATAACACAGGAAGATTATGAACCAGATGTAACCAGTGAAGAATCCCATTATCATTCCTTTTCTAATTCCCCAGCGCTGGGCAAACACTAGGTTTTTATCATATCTAAGGAAAAAATAAAAATGAAAGTGGACGAAGTGCATTTAACAGAAAACTAGGATGAAGAAAGACCAGTACAATGAGGCTGTTTCATTTTCCTTCAGTAATACAGTGGATACCATTAAAAATATAGCATTTACTACTCTGCAGTAAGGGCCCCGTGCTGCTCTCACTGAAATTAACTGCAAAGAGGCTAATGATTCCAATGGCTGTAGTAGCAACCTCAGACATTAAAATTGTAGAATGTCCTATTATAAGTATAGGAAAATATCACAATTACTGCAACTACCTGCCCAAAAGAATTTGTGTTGTTCTGACGTAGGAGAAGTTTTGGATAATTTGTGACAGATCTGCAACCATGCTGTATTTTAAATTAGTTTAAAAGAGAATTGCAGTATAATACCATCAACTCACTATATCTAATTACAAAGAGTAAATCATTGAAAAAAAATATAAATAATCAAGTTAAACAGGAATCTGCCATCTTGGCAGTCTGGTGATGCTTGAAATGCATCTAAGACAAGCAGTTGACACCAAGGTTCTATTAATGTTTAGGGTGGTTTGTTGTTGTTATTGTTAAAGAGAATGGTGAGGTTAAAAATTGTACATTTAAAAAAAATGTCTTTACTAGACCTGGGTGAATAATGGGAAAAACTATTCATGAATATTTTGGCAACTTCTAAATAAAATTTTGTTTTGACTGTTCATTACATTCCATAAGCTAAGGTATATTTATACAGATATTTTCAGAAAGCAAATTTTGGTGACTAATAACGCTTCACATTATTAACATGAAGGATTTTTTTAAAAATCTAATTTACTTTTAAGTATTTATACTGTTCATTTATATTTGTAGTTTTCCCAATTTAGTCAACAAAAATAGGCTAGTCAGTTTCACAAGTGCTTGTAATCAATTCCCCTTTCCCTTTCTCAGGCGCCATAATGCTATATTTGGCTTGCAAGCAATGTAAGAAATGTATGTATGTGTTTTCAGATACATTCCTTACATCATTTGCAACCCACATAGAATTTTTAAAAAATCATGGAATCATTTCTATTGGGTCTTCAGCAAAAACCTTTATTTTGGAGCACATTGAGCTGAGCATCCTTGATTTGTTTAAATAATGGCTCATATCTGCTGTGGATCACTGCAGTAATTAAAACTTGTTAATTTCTAAACAATTATATAATTACAGTACTTCAATCAATCTGCTGCCTTTTTCACATATTCAAATACTGAGTTTCCAGTCTTTCAAACAGGCTGCATTTCCTTCAAGTCATTTCTCATTGAAAGACACCTACACTACTCCATCTTATGGAGATATTGTAACCGTATTTCTAAAATCTCTTTTGAAAAGCTCATTTTAAAGACATAGATATATTCTTATTTTATAAACAGCTGTCTTTAAGTGGGAATGACAACAGGGATAATGGCTGTTGTATTGGCAAAGTGGCTTTTGCTATTTAGAGCAATGTGGATGAAACAGTACAGTATGCATCAATAGCTAGCCATTTGGAATGCTAATTCAAAGAAATAAAAGAGAGGGGGGCTGCTGGAAGGGCATTTTCTGCAAGGACCCTGTGGCTGGAACTTGCCCCCCTGCTTGGCTTGAAATAGCCTGCCCTTGATGACTTTCCAGGAACACTGAAAAAGCCACATATTTGCCAGGGTTTGGGGGAAGGCTGAAAGTATGTTCCTGGAGGTGATGGGCAGGTGGAAAGGAGTTATTCTGCTGCTGTAATTCACTGGCTGGCTGAGTTATAAGGTGTTAAAGTTTATGATTGCATGATGTTGCTGGCAGGCTGAGTTTATGGGTTAGCTACGTGTATGTTTTTTGAATGCTGTTGGGTGGTCATTATTTTGTAGTGGTCAGACTAATTGCCAGGGCCTGGGAGTTTATGATAACCTTTTTTTAAAAAAAAAACAACCTATTGTTTCAATCTAAAGAAATAAGAAACCTCATAGAAATGTGACCGAACAAACCTTTCAATTTCTTTCCTCTCCCCACCAAAAGCAGCCACTGTTCTGATTGATGACAGCACTTCATCAGCCACAGCACCAGCTTTTGCGTATGCCTTTAACTCTAGGCCTGTCAGTTTTGCCACAGCCTAAAAAGTCATAAGAAGTATTAGTGGCAAAATATTATCCTGCTCCAGTTTTAGTGCTTACAGTACCGTGTTTAACCAATCAAGCATTATCAGCAAGCACTCCTCATTGTCAACAATACTAGCCAGACTTTATGTCTCCCCAGCGTACTCTAAGCAGAATTTATAGACCTCAGATTTTTATTTGTATTTCCCCCGAATCTTCTGTGTTGTCCTGTTCATGCACTAGCCCCCACTAGCATGTGGCCACAATGTACACCTGCACTCTGGGCAGCATGGCCATATCCCATTGCCAACTGCTTTGCTGAATGTGAGAGTCACTGGGGAGAGCAGCTGACAATGAGTGGTTTCCCATTCTCCTCCTTCCTTGCTCCTGCATGGCTCTAAGCAGCTCTGGGAAGGGTTAAGCAGAGTTAAGCAGCAAGGGAAGGAGTAACAGAGGATGCCAGCTGGAAGTAGAGAGGAGCAGTGGCTGTAAACTCCAGGTGCCACCCAGTTTCCAGTGCTGAATCACTCTTCAGCTGGGCTGACAATAAGGAGTGGGAAAAAGCAGCAAGCAGCTACTTCAGAGTTTCCCACCTGCTTGTGTATCTGCTCCTGTTGCCAATAGGGCAGCCATAGGAGTAGCTTAAGTAGAGACCTCAGCACTCCCTCTTTGTTCCCTTGTGGCAGTCCTTAGCAAAGCCACTGGAGACCAGATGCATGAGCAGTGGCAGGTAGGGTGACCAGTTAGCAAGTGTGAAAAATCAGGATGGGGGTTGGGG